CAAACAGGTATTGCCATGAAATTCATATCAAGTGCTACAACCTGATACAAATATAAATTTTCCTTATTGGTTTTGTAGGTCCCATCAAAACCAACAACATCAAAAAATCGACTTGATAAACTCATTTGATCTGCTGTTGTGAAGAAGAAATACAACAGACAGTTATCTCCATCTAAATCGTATTCACAGAGGCCACCAAGCGACATGATGTGATCTTTCAATTGGGAGTAATCACCTAACGTTTACAATTTAAATAGGTACATTGCTTACCAGGAAGGTTGGCTTGTGAGAACACTTTGTGGCGCATATTAAAAACATTTTCAGCATTAATGCGCTTTCTATAAGATTGGTAAACAAAGTGCATAATATTGAATGCTGCTGTCCCAGATATCGAAAGTGGTCTCACTGTTTCGAATTCCACCTCCGTTAACCTGCGCATCCAATAATTACTTTGGTACCTTAGGGAATTGCACTTGTGATTGTGGTACACATTCCCACGAACAACAGTCCAGTAACCTTCAATGAACTTACAAAAGATGAAGGAAGGACATTGAGTGCTCACAGTAGTCCTTAATGAAAAATTATAATAACACTAATCAAATTACCTCGTTCGTCTACTCGGCTGTGAGGAACCGCTAGATGTTCTACGGCCATTTCTCCAACATACGAATTTAATATAGGACTTCCGATCTCTATGGAAATGAGAATCCCTCACCACATAATGGCAGTACTTGGCTCTTTCATACGTTCTAATGGCGCTCTTCAACGCTTCAAGAGATTTGAATGCTACGAGATACAACGTGTTCAAGAATAGGTTATCGGTTTCTGTGACAACGTGAGGAACGACAGAGTTCGTGCTTTGCATGTTACTACCGTCCATAATTGTAAGAAAATGTGCTCTGCCATTAAATCCTCATATTTTATATCGATTTGAAGAAATAAACGACCAATTATAACGAACTCAAAACTAGCTATTTCATTGAACGAAACAGAATGAAAATTATTGGAAGATGGGGATGAAAATTTTTTCCAAAGGGACGAAAAAAAATACAAAAATGGCCGTGCAATAAATGTTTTCCCATCATGAGGCTCGACAGTCATAAGTCCATAATTTTAATATTTAACAAAAGCAAAAAATAAGGAATGGTATTAATGAATTTGATAATGTTATGTGTTAACAATCGTGAACGTTTACATCTGTTTCGATATATATATATATATATATATATATATATATATATATATATATATATATATATATATATATATATATACTTACAAATTGTAATATTTTCAAATTAGAAATGTCATTTATTAAAGGTCAGGATGATTTGTAGTGAACACTTTACTGCACAATAAGTAGAATAGTATTCGAGCAAAATTGAAAATGCAAAAAATTTTGTCTGAATTAAATGCATAGTAGGAGAATGCAATTTTGTCAATTCAGATAATAATAATAAGATTGTTGTGTGAATATAATATGTAATAAGGAGGGTGTTATCAAGGTAATTACGATCAAGGAATTGGGAATGATGGATGTGAAGATTAAGATATAGATAATGACAAATAATGATCATAAGGAAAACAAATAGTAATAACATTTTAAATGTTCATTGATGCAGTAGACCTTATTCATATTTATACGTTTTAATGTCCATAGATATTTGTTGTATCAGACGACGTAGGCTTGTTCATTTACACTTCATGAAACTAATATTTCAAATGATTGTCAAAAACGGTTACATTCGTAATGTCTAGATATTTCAGGTTTCATATTACGGTTAACAATATTCACACATGACTGCTTAAACACACTAGTTTTTATTATGACAAAAAAAATAAATCTTAAAATGCAAAAATACAAAGAATGTACCCGTGAAAACAATAAATCGTCTCAATGGTTTTTACAAATAACCGTATTGAAATCTAACGTTTTCTAATTCTTATTAAGAAGGACTATTTACCAAATAACCCATTAATAAATATTATGTGCCTATTTCGGAGAAATTATTACTTCTTTGATATACCGTCAAAGTCGCTTCATTAACCGATGGTTTACGGTTCGTTCGCCTGATTTATACATGTCGTAATCAGTAACTTACTTACTTACACCTGTTACTCCTCGTGAAGGAGCATAGGTCGCTCACCAGCATTCTCCATCCAACCCTGTCCTGGGCAATCCTTTCCAGCTCCTTCCAGTTGTAATTCATCCTTTTCATATCCGCTTCTATTATCCGACGTAATGTGTTCTTTGGCCTTCCTCTTTTCCGCTTCCCTTCAGGATTCCAAGTTAGAGCTTGCCTCGTGATGCAGTTTGACGATTTGCGTAATGTATGTCCTATCCATTTCCATCGTCTTTTCCTAATTTCCTCTTCAGCTGGAAGTTGGTTTGTTCTCTCCCACAGAAGGCTATTGCTGATGGTGTCCGGCCAATGGATGTTGAGTATCTTGCGTAGACAGCTATTTATAAATACTTGTACTTTCTTGATTGTGGTTGTTGTAGTTCTCCAAGTTTCAGCTCCATACAGTAGAATTGCCTTGACGTTCGTATTGAAGATTCTTACTTTGATATTGGTTGAAAGTTGTTTTGAGTTCCATATGTTCTTCAATTGTAGGAATGCGGCCCTTGCTTTGCCAATCCTCGCCTTTACGTCTGCCTCCGAACCTCCTTGTTCATCGATGATGCTTCCCAGTAACTTATCATGATGATTTATTTATATGTTGATTTCTTTTTTCGATTAACATATTATGTGTTACTAAAAAAACGTATGCACACATTTTGGTGATAATTTGTTTATTAATTTGGTATTCAACATTTGACTACCGATATCATTCCGTAATCATTATTATCAAATATTCAAACCGGTTTTCAGTTCCTTTTTCCACAACTTTCTTTTAATGTGATACATATAATTATTCTTGTCAAGATAACTAACGACTTCAATTGAACGTTGACATTAAATTACTTGATCGGGAAGCAAAAATTTATCCCGATACACATTCACTAACAGTAGTATTGCACGGTAGTGAAATTAAGTTGGTGTCTTTTTCTTCAAAAGTCTAAATTTTTTTTCAAGACTAAGATTACACTAAAAGAATTATTCATTGTCGTTGAATTTCAAATGTAAAAATGAAAATTCTGACATCCAATCACAGCACTTGATGCTATTTCGATTTCAACTAATCAGATTACAAAGATGAACAGTTTACGACCAATTACAAAATTATTAAAAGTGACAAAATGTTTGTTCATTATCACTTGAGAACATACTTGCAAAACAAGTACACTAATCACCGATCCCTACTTTTTTTCACACCCTACAATTTCTAAGAAATGGGTGGTAGGGAACCATAATTGCCGTCCATTGAATGTCAACCTCGATTGTTGATTGCTGTTGGCTTTTGGTGTGCAAGTATATTTACGTTCTGGTCAGGCTAATCACGTATTATTGATCTGAGTTCTGTTGAAGTCTTTTAGAATAGACACTGGAAGGGGATCTAGTGTACATATTCGTCTAAGGCAAATTAACGTCCCATTTATGTAAACATGAAAAAGCGAGAGTTATAACAATAACAATAACTTTTTATTTGATAAATAAATAAATGTTAAGATTATAAGTTTCAAATTATCACCATATGTACAAGGTAATCTATGGGTTTTGATCGAAATAAGTATACGTTTAGAATTCACAATCAACTTGACTCAATGCACTTATTACTTACTTACTTATGCCCGTTACTCCCAGGGGAGCATAGGCCGCCGACCAGCATTCCCCACCCCACTCTGTCCTCGGCCTACATTTCCAGTTCTATCCAACTGTTGTTCATTCTGCTCATATCTGTCTCCATTTCTCGGCGTAATATGTTCTTTGGTTTTCCTTTTCCCCTATGGCCCTGAGGATTCCAAATGAGAGCTTCCCTTGTGATGCAGTTGGGTGCTTTACTCAATATGTGTCCTATCCACTTCCAGCGCTTCTCCCTGATTTCTTCCTCCACTGGAATCTGGTTTGTTCTCTACCATAGTAGATTGTAACTGGTAGTATCTGACCAACGAATCCAAAGTATTTTGCACAGACAACTGTTAATAAACACTTGTATCTTCTGGATGATGGCTTTCGTACTTCTCCAAGTTTCCCCTCCATACAGTAGAACTGTCTTGACATTTGTATCGAAATTTCTGACCTCGCTGTTGGTTGACAGTTGTTTTGAGTTCCAGATGTTCTTCAGTTGTAAATATGCTGCTGCTTTTCAGATCCGCGCCTTCACATCTACATCGGATCCACCGTGTTCATCAATGATGCTGCCCAGATATATAAAGGCTTTACATCTTCCAAAGCTTCTCCGTTACGTGTGATTTGATTGGCAATGCACTTAAGTTAACAATTTATTTAATTTTAGGTTTATGGTTGAGTTGAAATGATAATTTTAAATAGTTTAAACGAAAAAATCTTTTAAAGACTGATGCTTTCCAAGTCAATATACGACCTAAGGCTTTTTGGGGTCTGAACAAGTACTTCTTGAGGAAAGAGGATTGTAGGTGTGGCTTCACTGAGATTGTGATCATTTTTGTACTTAATTGTAAGCTTATATCATCATATGGTCCAAAAGTCGGAAAAATTATCTAGTTAAATAAATATGATTTGAAAATATGGTTAAGGTATGATATGTGATCTAATCTACTGTACGATCCGCTTCGCTTTTATTGTCCAGTAATTTAACTAAATTTGAAATTGCAGACCATTGTTTGCCAAGTCAGCAATCTAATAGAAACTCTTTCGTCGTGAGATCTAAAGGTCGTGGGTTCGATGTCTGACAAAGTTGTGAGTCTGCATTTCTAGAGAGTACCATACTTGCACGAAGCACCTATTTATTGATCCCTGGTATTTTCGGTTGTCTAATTAAAGTCATTCCGTGATGTAAACTGAAAATCGAGAGAGCTTTTGGAACTTTGCGTACCAGCGTTTCTTAATTACAACCAAAGAATGTGACAGATTACTTACGTTCCACTGTTGTTGTACTTGAAATATGCAATCCATTCGTCCCCTGTTTTGGCCAAGCGACTGGCAACCATACCACGTATAAATGTGAATACAGAATTTCTACTACCATTTCGAACAATATTCCATAATGAATGATTATATACATTATTGGTAGTTTCGGTAATAGTCTGGTAAACAAATAAAAATCATAGCTTCCTTTTTTATTCAAGACTGATGTTAAATTGTGAAACAACATTTTACAAAAATATGTAAGATACTTCTTCCACAACTAGTTATATAACTATTTTTAAAATCATTTTATGATGTTAAACAGATTGTACAAAAATACCTCGATAAAACAATAGCATAAATCACTCCCTATTAATTGCAAATATGATTATTTCCTGGTAGATAAAATATTAGTATACGTAATTTGCTACAACCATTAATTGCATGACAACTAAGTATACTGACACGAACTGTAAGTTAAGACTCATCGGTTTAAACTCTAGAGAGTTAATCAGTTTCAACAAGTCACCTCTAATTCAACAGATGTGAATTAGTATTACTGTTAAGAACTTCATTGAATCACAGTGTATATGTTTATGTAGTTATAGACTATTCAAAAAAGAATAGATTTATTTCATTGAAATTTTTTAAACGAACAGCGATCATAATGAAGACTTAAAATATTCGAATTAATATTGATCATGAGGTAGCTTATCATACAGAAAAAACGTTGAGCTTAGAAAAGATATTTATAGTATTGTCCAAACTCCAAAAAAAAGAATATAAACTGATATGGTAAGCCAATTAGAAGTAGACAAATGAGGTCAATCGGAGGATCTGAGGAACAGATGCATATCATTGGCTAAGAAATAGGGTAATTTTTTAAGGGGTAGAGACGCATATATAAAAATGAGTATTTGTATATTTCATTCAGAAACCCAATAGACTTTCTCATCCACTCTTGTGTTCTCGTTCAAATGGTCAGGTGGTGGTTGTAGTTAGTGCGTAGCACGTTGTGTGTCAGTATCGGATCTCGGACACCACCCATCAAAATACAAACAATTTTCTTTCAGAATTTTAACAATATCGAAGAACAGTGATCTACGCAAGCAGTTTAAACACAGTGGATATACGAAGTGGTTGTTCACCAAAATTATTCTTACAAGGATTCAAATATAGACCAGTACTCTTTGGATCGTAGTGGTACTAGTGTTCTTATTACTCTTTGATAACAATTAATTTGATGTGAGGCTGCTGACTTCGAAATCATGTGGGGTCATTGTACACACTACTTAATTATGCCTGTTACCCTCGTGGAGAAGCATAGGCCACCCATCATCACTCTTCATCCAACTCTATTCTAGCCAAGCATCTGCAGTTGCTATTCATACTTTCCATATCCGCTTTCAATTCTCGACACAGTGTGTTCTTCGGCCTTCCTCCCTTCCATTTCCCTTCAGGGTTCCAAGTTAGCGCTTGCTTCATGATGCTCTTCAATTGTAGGAATGCGGACCTTGCTTTGCCAATCCTCGCCTTTACGTCTGTATCTGATCCTCCTTGTTTATTGATGATGCTGACCAGCTACGTGAAAGATTTCACATCTTCCAGAGTTTCTCCACTAAGTATGATTGCGTTGGTGTTCTCCGTGTTGTATTTGAGGATCTTGGTTTTTCCATTGAGTACGTTTCGGCCTACCGGTGCAGAGACTGACGCTACTCTAGTTGTCTACATCTGCATTTGTCAATGTGTATGAGATAGAAGGGCCAGGTCATATGCGAAGTCCAAATCGTCTAATTGGTTCTGAGCTGTCCATTGTATGTCATGTTTTCCCTCAGATGTCGAGGTCTTCATAATCCAGTCAACCACCAGAAGAGAGAGAGTAGACAGTCTTGTCTGACTTCTTTCCTCACTGGGAATCATTGTAGACATACTGTCGAAAAAAATTAGACAAGAATGAAACATCTCTTTGATGTTTCTTTTTTTTTCATATTTCAAGTACCATTAAATCCCAATAAAGACTGTTCTCAGAACAACAAGACTTTCTTGATTAAAATATTAACTTACGAGATTTGCACTTGTCAAGTAGAAATCATCAACTGAACTGGTAAATGTTGGATATGAAGAAAATGTTATTGCAAAACCAGGAATTTTCTGAGAATCTAAAAATTAAAATACAATAGTTATTTACATCATTTCTAAACTACCTGATTACATGTTATAGATCACAATTCAATGTAATTTGACGTTTTATATGTTAATACTTGTTAATCACTGAGTTCATTCTTTCATTTGTATAGCTCAGTGTTAAGTGTCCTTTAGAATGAGTAATAGATTTCTGAAAATGTATAATACTTAAACAATACGTAAGTTTATATACACATATAAAAGTTGAAATAAGTATGTTTATGCTGGATTTTCAATGAGGTAAATAGAATGTCATCCAATTTTTATATTAAGTATATTTAGTTTACAACTGGTGGGAATGAGTAACATTTGAACCTTTATATTGATTACTATGTGAATGTACTGTATAAAAGTAAGTTTTAACAAGTTTGCTTATTAGTTTCAAATCAATCACATAAACTTAAATTCTATAATTATTAAATATTACAAATTGAAACAAACATTAAATTTCAATAATCCAGTCATATATAGAAACAACAAAAAATAATTAATAGTTTATATTAACATTAATTAACAACTAAGTAATAAATCGTGTCATGAAATCTAGTTTTTAATATTAAACGAACTAGAGCGATCAAGTTGGAATATGCTCATTAGTCTGAATAACTCAATATGGTGACTCATTGTATTTAGTCTTAGGAAACTAGAGACAAGAGAGAGACAGTCCTGAATCAAGGTTTCGTGGAAAGTAGCACTCATTAGAAGACATAAATGTAATACTAAAGAAAGCAGTACTCCTTTTAAGATCGAGTCCTCGAGTGGCTATGAGAGAGCATTTCGAAAGTAAGAGCAGACTATCTCCGCTCTCGACCGTACCAGGCCATTTGGGGGCAATGCAGGAACAATAATAATCAGTGAAAAAAAATTCATTCAACACACCTGTACGATTGACAGTTTTCCATGGAAAGTTGTAATGTTTCAATACACGCAGCATAATACTGTATGTTGACCATGTGACATGCGATAAATAGACATTATTATCAACTATTTTAATCAGTGCTGAACACGATGGACTAGCGATAAATGGATGTCCCATTTTGTTTTTGCCTTTCTTTAATGTAAGAACCGATAAGGCACTAACTAAGTCATCAAGATCCCCGTTGAGCTGTAGTAAACTATAAAATTAAAATTTAACGTGACGTTACAAATATGAATTAATAACAATGAATAAATTTTGTTCAAAAAGAACTACTATGTAAAACTGTAGGTTATGTAACGAATTCATTGGAATGGACAGGAAGAAAGACACAATGCTAAATGAACAATCACACCTACTTCTGAAAATAACGTTCTAGTCGTCTAAATTTTTGGGCATTGATCTCATTCAAGGAGTTCCACTTATTGATTTAAAATACATAGAAGATATATTCCTGTTTGGTGAAGATGCTGATAAAATGCAGTCTTTGGGTAGCATTGGGCAACAATGCCAGAATGTTTGGGATGCGCTTCTCCCCCTTCTAAATGCGAATAGTTGCTTAAGGACTGGTCTACCTCAACACCTGAACTAAGGATAGGGAGTAAAGTAGTCGAACGCGTTGACAACTTCACTTATCTTGGATGTCTGACCAGACCTAATGGGTTGGTGTCTGACCAAATCTCTGCACGGACTCAGAAAACTCGTTTGGCTTTTGCCAACATACGTCACCTGTGACGAAGGTGAGATATCCGTCTACCAATCAAGGGACGAGTATACTGCGCAGCAGTTCATTCTGTTCTACCATACGGCTACGAAACGTGGCCATTAAGAGTAGAAGATACTCGTAAGCCACTAGTATCTGACCATAGATGCCTTAGAAATATTGCTCGTATCTGCTGGTTTCACCGGGTAAGTAATAGTGAGGTTAGACGTAGGGTATTAGGGAATGATGGTAAATCAGTTGATGTGGTTATGAATCTTCATCGACTGAGATGGTTAGGTCACGTGTTGCGTATACCTGAACACCGATTACCACGACGTGCAATCCTAACCGGCGTTGGGGATGGTTGGAAGAAAGTTAGGAGCGGCCAAACTGAAACGTGGCATCAGTCAATGAATTTACTAACTTCTGGTCTGAGCCATGTTGGTAGATGCAGACTACTTCGTTGGGGTCCGCGTGACTATTGTAACCAATGGTTGGAGACTGGGTTATATGGCTCAGAATCGATCACAATGGCGTCAGTGTACACACTCTCACTCCTCTCGTAAAATCGCTTCATATCTTTATTTCTACGAACTAGTTCTTTCTTCCTGTACTATGTCCTTATATGCAATCTTTCTTTTATATATTACCACCACTGAACTAACTACTTCTATGAATCCGGTGTTCATCTTGTTGTGCTAATGAGGTGTGGCAACTTGGGCCGATGTACATATGTGCCTAGTCTTACGTTGTAGCTGACTGACTGACGTGCGTTTGCGAGGCGCAGCATACATCGATGGTGTGAGCTTCTAGATTCCTAGTTAGAGAAGTCTGTTGCTCTATTCGACACAAATTTCGAACATTAAAGGCTTTCAACTATGGAACATGTTTGGGAGGTAAAGTGTAAAACAGTTGTCGTACAGGACATTTCCACGGCCGTAACTAATACTTTGACGTAATCGGGCCTGCATATCGTAATGATCCAACCCATCTATATTGGCTGGAACATTTGTTTTTTATGTTCTATCATACCAAGCACGTCAACTGACGACAGGTAAGACTAAAAGAAGCAACTTTAGGTTCGAGTGCGAGGTCGTACTGAAGACCGTGTAGGCATATGATAGCGTTTAGGTGTTTCCCTCTGGCAACCGGCATTTGCGGCCATGCTGCCTATTCACTCTGGAAAGTCAGTAAAGGTCGACGCGAAAAATATCACAAATCACCATACCCCATAAATTTCCATATCCGACAGTAGGGCCTCTATAAATATGGAGCTGACATAATAAAAACTTACTACTGAAAACCTGTGTGTGACCAGTTCCAAGCATTCGTACCTCGGACTCTGTAATCACACTCACAGGTTGATAAGATCAATACTAATCCAGTTTTCAGGTTTCACAAGTAGAATTGTCTGTGACAACTTCCCTCAAACCTCTAAAAGCACACAAAATCACCAACTTCATTACCAAATATTACTTCTACTACCACTGTTAACCCTCATCTTTTATCTTCGGCTACTTCGATATGTGCCACATGTGCTAACGATTTGAGTTAATGGAATGATACCTCAGGTTTCCTGAAAACACGCTCATAACTACATATTATAGCTTTCAATGTGTGAACCCTATTTCAAGTCGGAAAACAGGCATCAATAGCTAAGACCCTGGAATCTCGTGCCTTCGATGTATGCTGTCTCCAAATCATGCAGATGGGGTTCTAGCATGGTCTTTCACCTGACATCACGAGATAAGAAGTGGTAGTCGTAGCTACAGGTTAGCAGACTAAGTCAAACTGTAAAATATTTAGGTGGGTTTTATGGAGCCGCAGAGCAGGTAACAGTGGTCGTTTGCAGCCGTTTTCTCAAGGCGACCGATTATCATTAGTCAGTACAAACTTTAAGCATAAAGAGGGACATTGTCTAACCGGATGAGACTCAACACCAACAAAACGATGAATGCAAATAAATCACATCGCTATCACCCATTGTTCGAGGGGCTGAATAGAAGCCTAATGCTCTTACTGAAGTGCATACCTGAACTCGGACCATTCCCTGCTGGGTTCATGCAGTTTTACGCATTTTACTGGGCGTCGTCACAGACCAAATTGCGACACCATGGGTCATCGTTGAACAATCAGTTGAGTGGAACTCGTCACTATACATCAACTTCATTGATTATGAAAAGGCGTTTGACAGTGTATATAGGAGAACACTATAGAAACTTCTTCGACACTATGGAGGTCTTGAGAAGATTGTCAACATTATCCGGAACTCATACGACGGACTACAGTGCAAGGTCGTGCATGGAGGATAGCTGACAGATGCATTCCAAGTAAGGATCAGAGTGAGACAAGGCTGTCTACTCTCTCCCTTCCTCTTTCTTCTGGTGGTCGACTGGATTATGAAAACCTCGACATCTGAGAGGAAACATGGCATACAATGGACAGCTCAGGACCAGTTAGACGATTTGGACTTCGCAGATGACCTAGCCCTCCTATCGCATACTCACGAACAAATGCACACAAAGACAGCCAGTGTAGCAGCAGTCTCTGTATCAGTAGGCCTCAACATACACAAGGGGAAAACCAAGGTCCTCAAATTCAAGGCGGAGAATACCAATCCAATCACTCTTGATGGCGAAACTCTGGAAGATGTAGAATCCTTCACATATCTGGGAAGCATAATCGATGAACAAGGAGGATCAGATGCAGACGTAAAGGCGAGGATTGGCAAAACAAGGTCCGTATTCCTTCAACTGAAGAACATTTGGAAGTCAAAACACCTTCCAACCAATATCAAAGTCAGAATCTTCGATACGAACGTCAAGGCAGTTCTACTTTACGGAGCTGAAAGTTGGAGAACTACAACAACGACCATCAAGAAGGTACAAGTATTTATACTGTTAATCCTAGTGAAGATTAAATTACGGGTAACTTCTGAGAATAATTAATAGACTATGCTTCATTTTAACCTATAGAATATTATTATACGATTTACTGTTCTTAAATTATACTCAGTTTATTTGTTACAGCCTCCCACGTTTGCAGCTACTTTTTGGCTTGATCTTGTATAAATATTATTTCCTAATTTATGAGGTGATGTGATCTGTTTGGTTGGTACATAAACCAAGTATGTTTGAAATAAATGATTCGCATAGTGGAAGCTGTTATTGGCGTTCTGGACTCAACTGGATTGGCTAGGCGAACAAGGGAACAATAAGGACACTATGTTGCTCATACCGGTCGAAAGTCATTGGTTTAGTACAGTACTAAGATTGAATAAGTCGTATTTCGATGGGGCAATAAATCACGTGATAATTAGCCGGGCTTAAAGTCACAACAGATAGCATCGACAACAGCCTAGTGTGGGAGAGAACAAACCAGTCTCCAGCTGAAGAGTAAATTAGCAAGAGACGTTGGAAGTGGATAGGATATACACTGAGGAAATCAACAAACTGCATCATGAAGCTAGCGCTAACTTGGAATCCTGAAGGGGAACGGAAAGGGGGAAAGCAGAAGAAGACATGGTGTCGACAATTGGAAGCAGATATGGAAAGTATGAATAACAACTGGAAATGATTGGCCAGAACAGAGTTGGATGGAGAGTGGTGATGGGCGGCCTATGCTTCTCCACGAGGGTAACAGGCGTAAGTAATTCCTGGAAAAGTTGAGTGACCAGTATTGACTAGATGCTCCAAGATTGTGCTTGTGACTGTCTTCTGTAATTCTTAGGAAAGCCAGGGTGGGTAACTTTCGAAGATGAGCTTCGAGTGAGTTTGCTTTGTGCGGCCAACCTGCCTCGGATGAGCAAGGTAGGCTAAAATAAATAAGGAGGTCAGGAATGAATGATATGCATTGCGAATAATCCAGTCAATGAGGCTTTACAACTTCATCACCCAGATTACTACTTTGGATCAGTACCTTATAATGTTTCCAAAGTCTGTAGAAGTCTTTGAGTAAGAGATAATTCCTTAGAAATTCAGGTAAAGTAAAAGAATATCTCTAAAGATGAGTCCATGTAAAAAAGAAACAGAAATGGGAAAGGCGCTTGATCAAATCAGACTGATTTCAAAAGGGTACTTGCTGTGTCATCTACTCAATATCAGCAGCCTTAACAATAAGCACAAAAGTAGTTATTCTTTTGACAAGACTTAATTTTCAAAATGATACAACTCCTGCATTATTTTCACATAACGCGGATCACGATTTACAATACTGCTGAAATAAAGATGTGTTTGTAACTATCAAATTAAAGCAGATCGTATGATCTTGATCCACTTTTTCATTAGTTATGATAAGATTCGACTATAACGAGCCTCAAATAATCAACAAACAATTTTTGTTAGCAGATATGAAGACTTACTAAATCCCCATTACTTCGTTAATCAATGTATTCAAATGATTACGGTTTAACAAGTCCGCTCTGTCGATGAATTTTCTATTAAAGGCATCAGACATTCCCTTAAGCTGCCATAACTGTAAAGCAACCTGGAAAGTGAACCGGAAAAATATTAATATTTAATTACATTTACAAACGGACTTATCGGACAAAATAAAATCAACAAGGACATAAATTGTTTACAAAGAATGTCTAGGTTCTAAAATTTAGTGTTGATCCTATCAGGTAAATAAAATATTCCAACCAAGAAATAAGGGTGCAATACAAAGTTGAGAAAACTATATTTGAAAGAATTCTAAAACCTGAGAGTTCTAACAATCTTATACTTCTAGTATGAGAGTTTGTTTAGACTGTTGAGTGTTATTTAGATCATTAATCGACAGAAATTAGAGAACTATAGAAAACCACAAATAATTTACCCTAGTGGATAATAATAATCCCTGTTGCCTCTTTTAAATTGCACTGAAAAATTGACCAACTGACATAAATTGAAAGAGGTTAGCATCTTTTACGTCCTTATATGGGAATATTCAGTAACATTTTAAATGATTAGGCCTGGAATGGTTTTACCGAGATCATATTGTCATTTGCAACAGGTGGCTGATAAATTATCTCTCAGTGAATTATGATACAACTTCATTTTCATAAAATTATAGTTTCTGACAAGAAAACTTTTAATCAAGTTAATACAACTTCACACTTGAATTTCGGATTATTACTGGTAACTTCATATCATGTATGAACTGGATTTGTGTGGAAAGTCCTGTTTTCATCCAGATTTTCAGTTTGAACACCCAAATTCTTCCTTTTATACTTGTCACTGTAAATGCTATTTTGAAAGAAAAAATACTGACGACATATAGTTGTGTTGATTCCCTTAATCAATATACCTATGTATTTAATACTTACCTACTTTTGCTGAAGTATCATAATCTACATAGTCTACAATCCGGTCTGTTGGTTTGGTAAATAAAGTGTGGTTGCTGCTCTGTCTACCTGTGTACTTTGATCCAAATAAAAGCCAGGTAATCAATAACAACAGATTAAGTCGTTTTATGTACAACTGATACGGAATAATATCTTGACTTTAATAAAACGATAAGGAATTAGATATGACAGCCAGGTTTTAATTTCATCAGTGAGTTGGCGATCTATAATATGTATATCTCTACTATCTTGAGCAATAAATAACATACAATCATGTTTATTTTTTGTTACGGATGTAATATATAAGCATTTTATTTTGGTAGGAGAAATCTATTTTTGCCGTCCAAATATATCGCCTAATAACAGTTCATTTGAGGACTTTCATCAATAATTCGATATCATCAGAAGTCAGCTACATTGTATCACTACGTGTATCGATTAGTCGGCGTATTATTCTTTATTTAACAAACAACGACAAGCATACTAGAGAAATTTTAAAGTCATCTTTTACAATAGACTTTAGTGGTCTTTCTTGACTTAAAAGCAGCATTTGACTCTGCAAACCGAGAGGTTCTGTGGCAGTGTCTGTCATAGAAATGTGTACCTCAGAAGTACATAAGTCAGTCAGTCAGTAACAACGTGGAACTTCGTACGTACGTACATCAGTTCGAGTTGCCACACCACATTAGCACAGAGATGCAGTTGTCGATTCAAATCCCATAGTGGTAGAGGTAATAAGAGTATAAGCAGTAATCGGGAAGATTAGGGTTTGGAGATGTTATTTAAAGAGTATAATACAGTGAAATAAATTTGGAAAGAGGAAAAAAGGGACATGAAGAATTCAGAAGATTAGAATTTGGGAGAACACAGAGAGTGGATGCACCTGCACCATTGCAAACGATTTTGAGCCATGTCATTCAAGGTCTCTAACCATCCGTTGCTATCATCTCGCGGTCCCCAACCAGGTAGTCTACACCTACCAACATGACTCAGTTCACTTGTCAGTGACTTCATGAACTTGTGCCATGTTTTGGTCTGGCCGCCCTTAGCTTTCTTCCAACCTACTCCTATACCACTGAACATAGCACGTCGAGGCAGTCGGTCGTTGGGCATACGTAACACGTGTCCCAGCCATCTCAACTGATGAAGTTTCACTACTTCATCAATTGATTTGCCATCCTTACCTAGTACCCGTTTCCTAACAACTGTGTTACTTACTCGATGGTCCCATGATATACGAGCAATGTTTCGAAGTACATAAACCATGTGAAGGCTCTTTATTCGAACACTACCAGTCGAGTCAGAGCTTATAGTGAACTGTCATCTGATTTTGCTCAAACGGTGTCCGGCAAGACTGTCTACTATTTTGTTCAATTTCACTATAGACTTACCGTTATAAATAACGTTCTCGTCGTCTGCACAAAAAGTCTGATTGGGATTTGTCAACTTACACATTATTTTGTATAGGTGAGATGTCTATCTACCGACTAAAGTTAGTGTACGATGGACAAGAATCAGTTCAGTTCTACTTTATGGTTGTGAGACATGGCCTGTAAAAACTGAAGACATGTGAAAGTTTCAGGTTTTTGATCATGTGTGATTTTTCAGAAACACCCATGTTTCTTGTAATGACTGAGTGGACAGTTTCGAAGTCAGGTATAGGGTACTTGGAAAGGGTAGCAAATAGTTTGATGGAGTAGTCAATTTTCATCGACTGAGGTGGTTAGGACATGTTTAACGTATGTCTAATTGTCGCCTACCTCGACGAGCGATGCTTGTTAGTGCAGAAGTATATTAGAGGAAAGCTGCGGACAGCCAAACTGAAACGTAGGATATTTCTATGAAGTCATTGACTGTGGGTTTAAGCCATTTGTGTAGAGATGAATTACTGGATTGGAGTCCGCGTGATAACCGCCACAAGTGGTTGGAGACTTGGGGGTGGTGGTTAAGTACCGTTTATACATACATTTCCACCTTGTTTTTTTAGATTCTACTTTCACAGTTTAACCTTTCTTATTATCACTGCTACAACATTATCTCAATATCTTTTTTATTTCCATATCATAGGGCTAATCCGGTATGAAAACTTGGACCGATGCACATCAGCAAAAGGCTCTATGTTGATGGTGTATGTTTCTCTGTCCGGCAGAGCATTTTATACTTACATCACATTTTATTCTGTCCACTAAAATATAACCGAACAAATACGTAATTCCAGTGGTTGAGGTCAATAGAAAATTTAAGATAAATCCCTATCTTTTGGTACTGTATGGATCATATTTCAGAGGTGCAGCATTCATCAAGGATATATTAAAAACTCGTACGATCTGAGTAAAAAAATAATAAATTTTCATCAGTATATTTCACCTGCGATCTTCCACAGAAAATCCATAAAAAATTATTTGACCGAAAAAATCTGAAATACTTCATTCTCCTTGTGTATTCTCGGTGCTCAAACTTTGGCAGTAGATTATTATAAGTTTGAAGTTTGGCCACTTAACTAGTTACAGTAACCCATACGATCTACATCAGGAATAGGTTGGTTATTCCATCGAATTAATTTCTTAAAAGGTGATTTGAATATTAAACAAAACACTTTATCGCAAATAATGTTGCACTAATAATGAGTGGAGGAGAACATTATGCTTTATAAAAATGTCAAGGACCCTTATTTCTATATGACAGTAAGATCTAGTGACTTCATATACAAAATGACTTCAGCTCATCTCATGATGCTTTTTCTAAAGTACATATATCAAGAATATTAAGTTATATCAAAACATTTTTTAAGTAAAGCAAATAAGTTAGATCCTTACTTGATACCAAAAAGGACTATGGTCACCATGTTTATATGCCTCATTTAACATATAAGCCATATTTTCTGATAGGTACTGATGTAAAATTTTACAGTCTTTAGAAAGTGGAATCGGGCACATATCTAAAACAAAACATTAATTCGAATTACTAACCATTCTTATTTAGATATTAAAAAAGTAAGATTTCTTACCAAACAGATACTCATAACTTTTCAATACTAATATACAGGTTCTACATTTGAACCGATATCAAATGAATGGCAGTTAATTAGTTAGGAGAAAGATGATTGGTAACAGATACAAGTTTTGGGGACAAGCTGTATAGTTGGTGGTAAACAGGAATAACTTAAATGCTGATGAGGTCTGATATTTAAAATGTTCCCGCCTACTAGCAAATGTAAAAGCGATGACTTTGCTGCGTAGTTTATTTTGGTTAGTACATAAACTGTACATAACACACGACTAGTTGTGATAACAGAAAAAGGATAGATAAGTGTAAATGGACCGCGATCGTAAATGTTTTTAATGGTTTTTTCTACCGGAAATTTGGAACATTTATTGGGTAGACTAATTTCTTTCCAAAACTTGGCATAAACTGTAGATGACATAATATGCTCATGGAAACAGGATCACTTAAAAAAGGATATATTCTTTCTCATAAGATTTCAGATATAATTTACTGACAAGAGTCCAAAGGCTTTTAGGCCTATTAATGCATTTTTAGACTACTGCATACAAATACTAAAATCATCTAGCAAAACTAACCACAGTATCAGTGGTAGTGAGATTAAAAATCTATGGCCACTTAACAGTCAGTCAGTTGGCCTTCCAACCGCAAGGTGGAACCTAGTACATATACACATCGATTCAAGTTGTTACAGCATATCAGTATAATTAAGTGCTAGAGTAGTATATATATTAATAGTATTAGTGGTGATAGAAAAGATTATGAGCGGAGGATATGATTTGAGATATGGATTGGTGAAATAAAAATGGTCCTTCTTATAATAATTAAGAAACTTAGGATTTATCGGTAGACAAAGGACAAATGAGCCAAGCCCAGTGAAAACTATTCCGAACCATGTCATTTAGGCCTCTAATCATTAGTTATAATAATCACACAGATCCCAACCTGAGTTTCCACCTACCTACACAGTCAAGTTCAACAGGCAGTGACATCATAGACTGACACTAGGTTTTGATTAGACCGCTCCTAGCTTTCTTCCAACCTCCTTTTTACACATATAAACATCGCACATCGAGGAAGATACTCGTTGGGCATTTGTAATACATATTTCAACGAACTCGGTTGATGAAAACACTTTACCATTCAATTTGCCATCCTTACCCATTAACTCGTATTTAACTTCATTTCTACACACTTGGTGGTTTAAATATACGCTGGAAATGTTTCGAAAGTATTTGTGATCGAATATTAGTAGTCTACGAACTTTTCATTGAAAGACCGCACAGTATACTCATCCGTTAGTTAGTAGATGAAAGTCTCTCCTACTCCACACGTGATGCAAGTTGAGTAATCTCAACGAGGCCTTTGGGATCCGTGTTGAGATTTCATAGGACACTAACCCGCCATAGCTGATCAGACTTTTAAGATAAGTGGAGGGATCAATGTGCCCGTCTAACTTACTATTAGCTTAGACGTTGATACAGACCCACCTTCAAGGGACGTTTTGTATTAAGAGGGATAGAAACACACCCCAAACGTTCTCGTTTCGATTATCGTTTGATAACAATTGCACACAGGATTGAGCTTGAAACACCTAATTATTCAAGACGATAGGTAAACTGAATGTCTACTGACTTGCCGTGACATGTTTACCTAAACCTATTTTTGTAGAACATCGTTTTCTTAGATAATTACTTTACAAAAATTCTTAGAAAGCCCCAACTGTTACCAAGAAACGTCACAAGAGTGGTGACTGTGATATACTACTTTGGAAAAACACAGTGGGTGGTAATAATGGTCTAGTATGGGAATTTTAGAGATAGAAATTAACTTATCATATATCTTGCTTATGTGGCAGCCCTGTTGTAGTTATTTTTACTCTCTTTATAAAATTGAGATGAACTACTTTGGCCGAAAAAACTTTCTATTATATCAACTAAACTGCTTCACCACTGTTTAGTACTGTTATCCACTTATTTTTATTTACTTGTTTCCTTAGATCATAATCACAATTTCCTTCTACTCCCTTACAGTTTCGTCTTCTTATTGAGTGCCTCATACTTATTTTAGTGCCCATTTGTATTGAGATTTATGTTTAGGTAAAAGAAGATATCTTAATGAAGGCTATATACTAACACCAATAATAATTGGTTCGAATGAACTTACTAGTAAAAGATAGACTCAATAACACTTAATAATGACGTTACTGAAGCTGGAAGGTACGCAGTGGACTGGACTGTATCCTTATAGAGTAAAAAGTCAAAAACAACCTATATTTAAACTCAAAAATCTGAGTAATGAGGCTGGTCGTTTCATTTCGCAATAACACTACGGCTTAAAATACAGAGACACTAAACATATTTATTTGACAATTTTGATTCACCCCGCATTTCGCGAGGTAATTTACCTTCTATATAATGTGCGAATGGATATTTTGAAGTTTACAAAAAGTTAGTTTCTCCAAACTTCGTTAAACACAGGCACGAGGTGGAATTAAAGACTCAAGGCCATTAGCTTATGGGTGAGTGGCGAAAATATATAATGCTTATCTCACGAAAGGAAACAAGTCGTAACTTTGCTCTAGATTGTTCCGGAGGATAATTTTGAACTTCGTTTTCAAAATAGTACGTATACTCTTTAAAGTCAAGATACGTTACAGAAAGTCTACTTAAGCTTTATTAAAGACAAAACACCTCAGCGCTGTTGAAACATACCTTTGACAGTGTTTATCCAATGGGAGACAGTCAAACTGAGTGTGAGATTAGTTTCCAAAAACCCAGCCCAGTAAGCTTGTAGATAGTCAGGAAAGCTAGACGATGTTGCCACCGTGAGTGATGACCAACTTAGGATTTTAGGTGTGATAAAAACACAGAATTACCCAGTAGTGTTTATTTTTTCTTCAAAAGCAGCTATCGCCACCATATTTGGGTTTTTAAAAGTTTCATTTTCTACTGTAACTCGGATAATTATCACTATATCTTTGACTACCTACAGATCACATAATGAAAAAGAAGATTTGGTTTGTCCTTTGTTGCTGAAATAAGGGCTATAGATGGGCGTCCCCCATATATCTCAACGAGCACAAACGAAAAAGTGATAACAACTCCAAAGTACATCTTGACGCCGTACCGTTTGATTGCATTGAAGGTCATATCACTGAAAAAACAAAACATACTAGTCCCCGAAATAAGCAATTCCGAAAGACGCCTACCATTAAGCCGTTATTTTTCATCAATCGTTTCAACTTATTTTGTAGACATACTGATAGATAGTTTGAGAATTGAAGTTCCCAACATATATTTTATTCCTTTGCCTTAGAGTAATAAAATCTGCGATAATACTTAATTCAGCCTAAAAGATATGATATTTTGTAAAATGTGGAATAGTTTTCAATTTGATGATGACACTTAACTGGTTTAAATATGTTAGGCTTTATAGTATAGCTCTAACTGGGTTCCAGAACATCGACCCTAATACTCTTAATTAAACAAATTTTCGAAAAATATTTTAATAGAAGCACAAAAATGAAGCCAACACAGCCAAAGAATATTTTCTGACGATCATCCCCCTACTAGAAAAGTAATTACAAGTATATTTATGATACTTCACTTTGTATTTTATTAGTCGTACTCAATATTTACGGTCCTAAATGACTAAAATTGTGTGTTTTTAATGCAGGATGTTAAATGACTATGTTATTGTGTAGACCTCTGAAATAGTGTGACGATAAGAAGCATTTGAATTACAATACGAACTAAGAATCTCAGAAATAACGTAATCGGTTCAACAAGTACTAGATAAGCACAAACGAATGTACTGGTTGTAGAATTGGAAATCAAGCATTCAACAAGTACAAAGGAATCATTGGTTCATTCAAAAACCATATCCGCCACATCTTAAACTAGGGTCTAAAAGTCTGTAATTGATTGTACGTCTTCTTAAGTTCATCACGTGTTTGTCCGACAGTGTATTGGATAAAAACTCCGTTTTATCTACAATGTACTCGTTAGTATTGCAATTAACAACCGAAATCAGAACAGACTCACCTGCCTCCTGTGATTGTGTAATCAGCATTTCGGTTGTGTACTGCGACCACTGCAACCTAGAATTCGAACCATAGACTTTTAGACCATCCTCCTCCACGAAATATTGCTGGATCTTCATTTCCTCAAGTTATGAATGATGTGGCTTTATTTAAAACATATTTCTCACATTGATTAGAGTAAGTATCAGAAGTGACTTCGTGATAAGGATAAACAGCAGTTGATATGAAATCATCCGAATTGTAATCAAAATCGGGCTCATTTAGTACTTATGCTACTCATTGAACAAGTTTCCCACAAGAAATAATTGCATTATGAGGACAAATAATAATTGATATGACATCACGCTTTGACTCTTCTGAAATAATTTCCTCAAATTTATTAAGAATGTCATTGCAGATTAAATGATCATTAGAAAAATCAGCATCTATCAAAACTACATCAGGTTTCTGACCATGACTAGGTTCATTCAACATATTTTCCTCAGATTTGCAAGGAACGTCGTCAGAAATAAGTGAGTCATTTGGAAAAACCATATCTGGTACAATAACGTGTGAAATCTTATAAGTTGATTGGTTAGAAACGGTTGTCTCGCAAGGATTCTGAGTTTCATTTAACTCTGAACTGCTATATGACTCTACACTGTCTTTTCAAATCGTTGATAAAAATAAATGATCATTATAAATACGGAACCTAATAGAATCAGAATTACAAGACTTTATATTAGTTGCAGCAAGATGAACAGTAGCACTACAAACTGACTGGATATGTCTGATATCACCACATTTAAAGCACTTAGAATTACGAAATTACGAAATGCGTTGTGTCTACTGTGATGGGAAAAATAGTAAGATCACTAGTCAATACGGCCTGCTTGAATATTTAGGCTACCTGTTCCTGCTATCTAAATATTCCAACAAGTTATCTGTTTCCTCGTTTGTTTTAACAGATCATCATATCGATAATTTGCATGACCTATATCAGGTGAGTTTGTGGATAGTTTACGAATGTAGCGGTAAATAAATCTAAAAAATAAATAGCTCTGTAAGTTTTCGATATTGAAAGCTGACCACATTAGTTTTAATGAACTCGACTAGCTGAAAGCATTTGGTCATGCATCCGCACCAGATCACGAGTGGGAACGCCGTGCTCAGCAAACTCTTCAATCGCTAACCAGATTAGTTCAGACGATCCTTGATATATTGATAGCCTATCAAATATATCTTCGAACCTCCTCGTTTCTGTCTCTTGATTTCACTTGGTGGGTACGATTCATATTAGGTGTCACTAGTCAAAGCGTTAACAAACTTCGAATACCTGTGGCATTTTCGTGAAGAAGAGCCACGTCAGTGGAACAAGTGTAAAACATAAACTTGACAACTAAATAAAGTTATAAATAAGTCTTGCATATTAACTGATCTACAGAAACAGTTAAACAGACTACCTAATAGGTAATTTATGATTGGTTCATTGAGTAAGTACAGGGTTGACCGTGAATACTAATTTGAAAATCCTCCAAAGTTGAGATGCAAAACCTTAAATAATTAACTCACATTCGGACTGAAGCTCTTGATAACATTTCTCGTGAGCTGCAGTCGTTCTGTACTGTATTTTATTATAGCCTCTTGCTCCCCTCCTCCATAAATACAGTCAACCATCACTGTAGCACCCTGACCTGAGGTACCGAACACTTACAATGATGTTGGTAAAACAACGAGCATGAAAGTGCTCTACGATGGCAGAATGCTGCATACGTTGCAGTCCCATGTACACTACTGCTACTATTACTAATCCTGCTAGAATAATAGATTTAATTCTGCATTGTGTACTTGTTATGAAATGACTGCCTAACCTATATGTTCTTTCGTCGATGTTACATCGCTACCGATACTGACTCACATTATTGTGACGGTCAGCGGTATTATTTGTAAAAAATATTCAAATATCACAATCAGTTTGTTGATACATGAGTATACTCAATACAAAGGGGATGTGTTTACAGACTGGTCACGTCAGCACGTACGAGCCACGCAGTGTTAATTAACTGTTATTGCTTTCACAATGATTTGCCTTCTCTGGGTGTTTAACGGCCAATGTAAATCTTATTGTTTATTGAGATTCTAAGATCGTGTTGTTGGGATTCAGTGTTAATCCACAGCCACTAAAAATCTATTTCATTGGTAAAAATTGACGAAAGTTATAAGCTGTGGTTACTGCCGTCTTTCAAACACCACTAACCCAATGCCGAAAGTTTGTTATCTCGACAATATCATGGTAAACGTCACTGTCCTTCTTGCAAAGTAGACTGATCGTTAAAAAATGCTCGCATTCAGCCTACAAGCAGCCGGTGGTTGATTGCGTCTGAAAAATGATGTTTGTTTGAGCATAGACTTACGGAAATGAGTACAGGATTTTCTTAAATTCTTCATTGTATGTAATCGAAGGTCACAAATTACTTGTTGATCCAGGTAAAAGAAAGGATTATGCAAACGGGAATCGTAACAAAATTTTATCAGTAGACTGTATGGATGGACATGTATTTAACTGTTGAAGGCTTCTAGGATTTCGGTTTCATATATCCATTATAGTCATTTCCAGCAGGCAGATGTTTAAATGGTTCAAATGGTTGTGGAAGGAATAGAGGAAACTTTCGCTTAACAGGCTTCCGTGTCTAGTAGCAGGGTATCACCAATACCTTAAGGCAGGAACCTAGGCATATTAACTATAATAGATTAAAAAAAGCAATTGGTAACTCATAATAAGGTGTCATCCTTAGTCCTTAAGAAAAGGTCAAGTTTCCTCTTAAAGGACTCCTGTGAAGTCGCGAATTTCAGCGAATTTCAGCATTCGACAACTCTTAAGGAGTAGAAGTTGTGTCTACAGTCCGTTCTGCTATGTCGTATCTCCAATTTCTGGGTGTTACCCCTAAGGCTTGTATTAAGATTAGGCTAAAGTATGTGTTTAAGGAGATATCAAGAAGTGTTAAGGATACTGTAAGCCATTAGAAGGTCGTCTCTGAGACGACTATACTCTAATAGGTAAAGGTTAAGTGATTGAAGGCGCTCGTCATAAGGTTTGAATTTGAGTCCCCAAACTGATTTCGTGGCTCGTCATTGGATACGTTCCAGAGTGTCCTTATCCTTTTTGAGTTAGGGAGAAAATACTATGTTTCTATATTATAAATGAAAACGAATAAAACTGTTGAAGATTATTTGGAAAGTCATACAGTCAAACTGGCCAAAAATGCGCTTCAATTTTACCAGTGCAAGGTTTGCTCGAAAGGCATTTTTGTCACAGTTAGCGTGGTACTTTAAATCGTAGGGCATCAAGACTCTTAAATCTTTTTCGACTAGGAATACCACTAGAGAGGAGTTTCTTAAGTTGTAACTGTGGTCTGCGACATGTCGCAGATGGACTGCTTTACACTTTGAAGTGCTGAAAGTAAGTCCGTTATCGTTTGCTCAACTTTGAAGTCTAGTCAGATTCTCCTGAAGTGCCTGTACATCGTCTCGGTTGCGTATCTCTCTCCAAAGTTTCACGCCATCAGCAAACATTAATGTCTGACAATACCTGCTGTGGAAGATCATTAACATAAATCAAGAAGAGGTCCTAGCATTGAGGTCTGGGGGACCCCACTAGGACATTCCACAGCCCAAGATAAAGTGAAGTTAACCCTGACCTAAAAATGTCGATTTTTTAGATATGAAGTGAGCCAATCAATTAGAGGTGGTCTGATACCCAATCGTTTGGGCTTATTGAGAAGACATGTATGGTTAACCCTATCAAAAGCTTTTGAGAAATCAAAATAAATGATATCAGCTTTCCCCTTGCCATCAAGGATGCCTGTCTATCTGTAAACCGCAGTCAGCAGTTTGGTTATACAAAAGTAACCCTCCCTGAAACCACTCTGTTTAGGTGAGAAGAAATTTAAGGAGAGTAAATGATCATGTATTCCATCGCATATCAGGGACTCCATGATTTTTGAAGGGAAAGGGAGAAGAGCCATTGGTCGGCAACTTGAAGGTTCGCTGCGTCAGCCTCCTTTGAAAATTGGTATGATGTGGGCCAGCTTTCAATTTTCCGATAGTTTTCCTCGACTTAGCGAATGTGAGAACATCATGCTAAGAGGAGTTGCCAGGATTGAGGGTGCTACCTTCAGTATAGCAGAATGAACCATATTTGGGCCAAGAGAAGTGTCTTTTTTTAGGTGCTGCAGTTTCCCGAACATCAAGTCAGCTCTCAGGTTCA